CAGGGAGTCTGCTTCTCCCTCTGACCCTCCCCCCTCTCATGTGCTCTCTCTCATTCTCTCTCTCTCAAATAAATAAATAAAATCTTTAAAAAAAAAAGAAAAAAGAATTAGGAAAGGCTTAGTTCATCTCTATAAACTGTCTTCCCAGCCTCTTGCCCCTCACCAACCTTTCTTACAACAGGAAAACTGAGATAAAGATTGAACCCAGACGACACTGTAGATTTCCTGTTCCTGGCCTAAGGCTCTCTCTTCTATAAAATAATTTTTAATAAAATATTTCAAATATAAAGAAAAGCATAATAACAAATATCCAGATTTTTAAAATGTTAACATCATATGCTTTGAATCTTTTTTGACAGGAAATGGCACTTTAATGCTTTGAATCTTTTTTTAAAAAGAATTAAAATATTATGTATCAGCCGATGATGCCCATTCCTCTATCCCATTCCCCTACCACCTTCTCCAGAAATAACCACCATATTGAGGTTGGGGTATACTCTATTCTTCCTGTTCATGTTTGTATCTCACTCAAATGATTATATATCCATAAACCACACCATGTTGCCACAAAACGAGTTGGTGTTCAAAACAAGGAGTCCCTCATTCTAGTACGCTTGCATGCAATTAAAACCTTTGGGGCTTGGCTGGGTATTTCAAAAAGAAACTAGGGCAGAGCTTAAAGTCTTTTTTAATGATTACCATAGAAGGATCTAGTGATGTGTCTTACCATTTAGAGTGAAAAATAAATCTTAGGCAAATATAAAAATTTAAATACAACTTTTTTTTTTAAATCCGTCTCAAGTTAGCACTTCATATTTGTGAAACCCTGGTTTATAATGACCTAGTGTGAATGACCTGTCACGGAACAATAGGGAAAGATGGATTAAGCAATTTAACTAGTAATAATAGTTTCTACTTCTGCTTCAAGATCCAGCTCAAATGTCACCACCTTAATGAATCTGTTCTTGATCCCATCAGAATTAATTCCTTCAACAGTCATTTATTGAGTGCCAGAGCCCTGTAGATACAAAAGTAGATCAGACCCAGTTCCTGCCCAGAGCTCAGAAATAATTACACAATAGTTTTTGATAAATGCTCTAACAGAGGTATCCATAAAGGGTTAGTGAAATCTATACTTTTCCTGGACCAATTGGAGAAGACAATACAGAGGAGGCGATATTTGAGATGCATCTTGCAGGATGAGTAGGAGCTCACAAAACAGAAGATAAAAGGTCATTCCAGGTAGGGAGACATTGAATGAGAGGGTACAAAGGATGGTAAGATATCAGTTTTAGAAAGATAACTAAGGATAGACATCAGAGGTATAGGGATAAGTTAGAAGACTAACAACAATTCAAGCAAAAGATATGATTATAGGCATGAGGTGGGAGGGGGAAGGATTTTAACAAAATTTGGGAGATAAATTCAGCAGAATTTGATGCTTCCTTGGAGGGAAAGAAAGAACGTGGAGTTGGGGATGACTCTCAAAGGCTTGGCAAAATGAGTGGGCAGTGAGGCCATTAACTAAAATAGGAAATACCATACAAAAGATAATAACAGGCCTGGGGTTGGGGGGTCAAGTTTCCTTTGAGGCACTTAGAGTTAGCAATGAGAACTCTTCCTTGGGCCTTCAACAATTTCCTTTTCTAGGCCAGAAATCACCCCTTCCTCTGAATTCCATAGCATAATGTATACCTTTTCCACATCAGATATTTAAATCTGCTGTATCTATAAGTATTTACAAGTTTGTCCCTACCTTAAACCAAGAAGAAAAAGTACTAGGTCTTGTTCTCTGCGTCTTGTCCTTATCTCAGAGCCTTAACATACAAAAAGCCTCAGCCAAAGTTTGCATTCTTGAAAAGGGAGCTCCATCAGATACTAGAAGCAGTCGGTTAACATTTATCAAAACAATGGCCAAAACTTGTGAGTTATTGACTTATATAAAATATCTAAAGCATTTGGTCTACAGCATCTGCTTTTAGATCCTTTTGTGCTTATCTTATCTTACTTTTTTATTTTTTAAGTAGGCTCCACGCTCAGCGGGGAGCCCAACGCGGGGCTTGACCTGACGGCCCTAAGATCAAGACCTGAACTGAGCTAAAAGTCGGATGCACAACCAACTAAGCCACGGGGGCAACCCTATCTTATCTTACTTTTAAACAAACCTGCAAGGTAGTTGTATTCCTATTTTACAGTAAAGCAACAGGTCAGAGTGTCTGAATAACTTTCCTGGAGTCACAAGGTTTGCAAGTTGCTTAACCAAGATTTGGGCCGACTGGTTTCTTCTCAGAGTTAAGCTTCTCTGTTCTAATGCTCAGTTGGGCTGAAAAGTAGATCTTTGGCTCCTGAGGGGGTAGCACTCTCTGGTTCGGCGGGAACTGCGAGAGGGGCCTCACCCCTATCATCTCATTGAGTCTAAAGCGCCCCCCTCCCAGCAAAGTGCCCATGCGGGCACATCCACTGCAGACGGCAGAGCTGAGAGGGGGCCCAAGGGCCCGGAGGGTGAGCTCCCTGCCCGGGGACCCAGCATTTTGCGGTATTCACTCCACGAAAGCGCATGGGATCACGTGGCCCTTCGCTCAGATGAAGCGCTGGCCAGGCTCCAACCCCGAAGCCCGGAGTGGGCGCGTGCGGCCAGAGCCTCCCAGCCTGGCCCCGCCGGGGATGGGGGGCGGGGTGGGCCGGGGCGGGGGAAGCCATAAGTTCTCACAAATAGGGGCACTGGAAAACGGTGGTGCAGTTACTGCCCTTGGGACACTGAAACTCGTCCCGTACCTTCCTCCGCAGTCCCGTGCGGCGCGCCGGCCCGGCCGGCAGCCCCGGTTCCACCGACCGGAGACCGAGGTCGGGGCGGGGAGAAGCCCTGCCCACTGGCTGCGGCGGGAACCGGCCCCACGACGGTGCGACCGAGCGGGCCAGGCATTTACCTCAGACCGCGCCGCTGGCCCCCGGAGGCTGCGCCCAGGGCTCCCTCACCGCCTCTCCGGGTTCTCGGTCCCGCCCGACACCTCCGGCCAGGAACCGGAGGGCGAGGGAGAGTGAGAGGGTAACAGAACGCTTCTGGGGACCGGCGCGAGAGCCTCCAAAGGCCGCAAGTATGGAGCAGCAGCCGCCCCGGGCGTGCAGCTGAGGCGCGAGGGCTCGGGGCAGTCCCGCCCGTGGAAGGGGCGTGTCCTGGCGCGTGCGGAAGGAGGCGCGAAGGGCAAGGGGCGGTCCCCCCCGCGAAGCCTTGGAAGGCGCGAGGAGGGGGCGTGCCTCACGTGAGCCCTCCAGGGGCCGGAGGTGCGCGGGTAGAGAGGAGAGCGCGTGCGCGGACCTGGTTGTTGGCTCCTCCTTCTCCTCTTTCTGGGGGCAAAGGGTAGGCAGTATTAGTCTGGACATCAGCGCCTCATCCGCACTTGCAGACTCCAGCCATGGCGGGGCCTGAATGGGAGTCCCTGGAGCAATGTTTGGAGAAGCACCTGCCACCCGCAGACTTGAGGGAGGTGAAACGCATTCTCTATGGCAAGGAAACCAGGTCTGGGGCCCAGAGGCTCGGGTGGGGAGACCTTGGGGCCAGCGAGTGTGGGTCTGGGGAACCAGGGAGAGTGCTTCAGGATCTGAAGGGTTCTGAGGGGGCCATGAAGATCGGAGTTGGTGAGCAGAGGCCTTAGGAGATCTAGATGTGATGGCTCTGGGCCTCAGGGGTTCCCCAGCCCCCGAGTGACCTTTACAAGCCAGTTCTCCCCTTGTTGCCCAGAACTCGGAAGGGGAAAAGAACCTGGAAGGGAAAGGACAGTTTTGCTCTCTGTCGCTTTCCCTGTGGCCACCCAGCTCTCTTTACCTACTTCCAGTGACCAGCTTCCTCCCCAGAGGCAGGCCTATGCTCTGGGGGTCTGTCTGGGTCAGTGCTTCCAGCCAGAGCCCCTAGCAAGTCACCTGACTGTCCAGGCCCAGCCCTTACTTCCTGCACTGACTGGGCCTCTGGCAGATCCCCGAGGTAGAGGCTGGCTGAATCTGGTTAAAGTAGGAATCTTTCCCATTGGCAAGGCCCAGGAGTTAGTTACCACACTTAGTGCAAATGTTTTTCCACTCGCAGCCAGTCGTATGCATCACTAGGACATTCTGAGGTTAGTGCACTGCTGGACACTGGGTATACAAAGCTGGAAGACATTTTCACTCTTGGTTCTCTTCAATCCACTTTTCTCCAAGCAACCCAAAGATGTAAATCATATCTTGTTGCTCCTTTGCCTAAAACTCTTTGAAGGAGGGGCACCTGGGTGGCTCAGTCGGTTAAGCATCTGCCTTTGGCTCAGGTCATGATCCTGGGGTCCTGGGATCCAGCCCCTGGTTGGGCTTCCTGCTCAGCGCGGAGCTTGCTTCTTCCCCTCCCTCGGGCCCCCCCACCTTGTGTGTGCATGCTCTCTCTCTCAAATAATGGATGGAATCTTTAAAAAAAATAAAAAACTGAAGGATTCCCATGGCTCTTAGAATGAAATCCAAACTCTGAACCCATGCAGCTTCTGACTTAATCTCCTTCCACTTCCTTGCCCACTGGTGGGCTCCCCGCCCCCCAAGCCAGACTGTGCACTTCCTGACCTTGTGGCAGTGACCTTGAGGCAGGAAACTGATAAACCTGAAACTCAAGGGTGTTGATTGGGTCAGTGGTTCCCAGCCACTGGCTGCAGTGGAGTTACTGCAGGGAGGCCAGATCTCAGATCTAAGAGGACATAAAGTGAACTTCACCATCCGCTAGTGAACAGGGCTAGTGGATGGTAAAGGTAGAACAACTGCCTTTGGGGGTAGGAGTGGTACAGAACTCTGTTGTAAAGGGCTCTTCATACCCAAAGAGGGATACCTGGGACTGGATGACCTTCAAGGTCCCTCCAGTGAAATCATGCTGACCTACTACTTACCACCATACCTGTCAAGAGGGAAGCATCTTAGAGTTGAAGGTGTTGAAGGTGTCTTAAAGGAAGGGTCTCAGGATGGGAATAGGTTTGTTTTGTTTTTAAGGATGAGGTGGGCATATTCTTCTGGGAACAGAAATGGAGAGAGTTTGTGGTGTCAGAGAGAGGTAAAGCACAAGAGTCTTAGGAAAAGAGAAACAAGTTTCTCATGTAAGTGACTGGCTGAGGCACATTCTAGAGACTGGGATAAGGACAACCTTGCAAGAGGGACCTTATGTGAGCATTTGGATCTCTCCAGAGTGGGGAGGAATTATAATGGGTGGTAAAATGAGAGCCAACACCCATTGGCCAGTGATGACTGGGCCTCATTGAAGGGCTTGGCTTATAGTAACTGTTCATGAAAGGCTCTCTTCCACTCAGCACTGAGGCCTTCCAGGCTTTACCTCTAGGGTATTATCCTTTGTACTTGCTCAGTCCTTGCAATTGGATGGGATTTGGCTATGCACATGACTGTGAACTGAAGATGGAAAATCATTAGTCATTTAAAAACCTTCTCCCACTTAAACCCCTGCTCACTCCTTATAGCCTGACTGACATGGCCACCTCTGTGAAGGCCTGGTGGAGCCCGAGTCCTCAGCCCCTCCCTCAGGACTCCTGACTGCATTCCACACAAGACCACCTTCTCTCCTGATTAATTGCTGTGCCAAGCACAAAGACGATGCTTAATAAGTGTATGTCAAGTGAATGAGCTAAATGGGCTTTTGCCTAGGCCAGGCAGATGAAATCCTCAAAGAGCATGGACTCTCAATTTTAAGACAGCCAAAACCAAGAAGCATTTATTCATTCAACAAACATTTAGTGCATGTTTATTTTTGTCCTGGGCACTAGGAGTACATGGTTCCCCCCTTGGAGGGGCTTTCCGCCTTTTGATGGTTGCCATACACGGTGAGATAAGGATGCAAGGAGAGCTGGAGAGAGTGTACATGAACAGAGGTGGAGGTGAAGGAGATGGAGAAGTTGGTTTGGAGACAGGAAGGGCTCAGGTACTCCGGGTCATGGCCCAGACACCAGGGAGCATGCTCATTCAGGGACTGCATGTGTAGAATGCTGTGGGGAGGAGGCAAAAGTAGGCACGGTAGGCCCAGGGATTCTGTACACCATGCTAAGGGAGCGGGACCTGTCCTAATGGTGGTGGGAGTCTTTAAAGAATTTGAAAAGAACAGGTGAAAGATGAGGAGGCCTAAAGTAACAGAGTGCCTGGGAGCCAAGAAGAGGAAGGGTTCCAGAGGTCTTGGGAGGTCAGCAAGCGGTGCGGATAGCCAACACAGCAGAGGAGGCAGATTGGGTGGCTGGTTCATTCATCTAATGAGGAGCAGCTTTGGGGAAGTCTGATGAGTTGAATTGGGGATGCTGTCCAGTTTCCTAGGGCTGCTGGAACAAATTACCACACACTGGTGGCTTAAACCAAAAGAAATTTATTCTCACAGTCCTGAAGACCAGATGTACAAAATCAGGGTGTCAGCAGGGCCACACTTCTCCAGAGGCTCTGGGGGAGAATCCTTCCTTGCCTTCTCTAGTTTCTGGTGGCTTCTGGCATCCCTTAGCTTGTGGCAGCATCACCCCAATCTCTGCCTCTGTCTTTACATGGCCTTCTCTTCCCCCTGACTCTCCCCTGGGCATCTCTTATAAGAATACTGGTCACTAGATTTAGGGCTTGCCTGGATAATCCAGGATGATCTTATCTTGAGATCTTTAATTACATCTGCAAATGTCCTTTTTCCAAATAAGGTCTCATTCACAGGTTCTGGGTATTAGGATGTGGATATATCTTTTGGGGAGCCTCAGTTCAACCCACTACAGGAATTGTGCAGAGGTGGTCCTCACTGGGGGAGGCTGGGCTTGGGACTGTCCTCATTGCAGGCGGAAGAGTGCGTACAGAGTGGGACAGGCCCAAGGAGGGATTCAGGAGAACCTGCTGTTAAAAAAAAAATCAGAGGAAGTGGAGACTTTGCATGGTACTCCAGAGGTGAGGAAGTAGGGATCAGGGGCCCTAGGGCAAGTATCAAGGACAGCAAGCAGGATAGGGACAGAGTGTCAAATGGTATAGGGAGGTCTAGAAGGATGAAGACAGGAGTGTGAGTCTCTCCCATTGCTAAAGCCAACCAGAAGGCTGGTGGCAATTCAGAGTGGGGGAGTGGGCCCCAGGGAATAGGGGGCTGAGGAAGGTGTGAGAGGTGAAGGCTTTGGGGAAGCTTCCTATGAAGGGGAGGTGAGGAGAGCAAGTGAGGTAACAAGAGGGACCTGTGGAGTGTTTCCTTTTTTTCTCTGTTATTTATTTTTTTAATGGGAAAGATTTAAATAGCTTTTTTTTTTTGAGAGAGCATGAGCAGGGGGAGGGGCAGAGGGAGAGGGAGAAGCTGACTCCCCACTGAGTGCAGAGCCTGGGGTGGGGCTCAGTCCCAGGATGCTGAGATCATGACCGGAGCCAAAGTCAGGAGCTTAACCAACTGAGCCACCCAGGTGCCCCTCAAATAGCTTTAATGGTGGATGTGATAGGTCTGTAGGAGACAGGGAGAAATGTCCAAGTTATGCATATTGTTAAGTAAGAAAGGCAAGTGGAGAGCAGAATATACAGAAGGACACCAATGTAGTTTACACACTTATAGGAAAATGTTGGAAAAATACCTACAACATTATTAAGAGGGGTTGTCTCTGAGATTCGGGACTGGAGCTGAGGGGCGTGATGGAGAGGGGAATTCAGTTTTCATTTGATATCCTTTCCACTGTTTGATTTTTTTCTCCCAACGAGCGTGTGTTTCTTTTGTAGCAAAGCTCTAGTTTAATTATTTAAAACGCTGATGGTAAAGAGCTATTAGAGAAGAAAGATGAAGTTCTAGAAGCTAGAGGTTGCAGAGGAGGCAGGAGCTGGGCTCCCTCAGACGAGGTCTGCCTTGACCCTGGTGGGGGAGGTGGGGCCAGGAGGGTATGTTGGAGCCAGAGCAGGAAATGATGGGCTCTCCTCCTTGACATTAGAGGTGAGGCCATGTGGGGCCTTAATATCAGGATAAGGGGCGGAAGGGCAGAAGGCCGACTATGGGGACCAAGGGAGGGTTTCCGGCAGCATGGAGCCCTTCTGAGGTTGTGGTTCATCTACTGGTCTCTGCCTCACCCCCCTGCTGGGCCATAGCCAGTCTATATCCCACCACATCCCTATGCCAAGCCTTTCATGGGCACAGTACTTGTTTATGGAATGGGGCTCAAGGGTCTGTTGGGGTCTCCCAGACTAAGTGGGGCAGGACATGGTGATGGACCACTTGGATAACCAGAAGGTAGGGGTGACTAGACAACCTGAGGGTGGCTCTCTCTGTGTGAGGATATAGTGGCCTGGCCTGTGCCATCTCAAGCCTAGGAGAATGAGTGTCTGCAGGGAACTGGGTGTGGGAGGGATGGAGGCAGCACTCAACATAGTGACAAGGCAGGGAGGCTGCACATCACAGAATAACGGGGCTCATGGTGATGGAAAGATGGGGAGAGCCAACAGCTGTGGGCATCGGATGAGGAAAGACAGCCAGAGACTGAGGGACATCTGTCATCCAGGTGACGGCTACAGGTGGGCTTGCAAAGGTGAGACAAGATCTCTTTGATCTGCTCTCTTCCTGGGATGAGACCCAGATGGAGGACAGGCCTGCCAACAGGTCTCCCAAAGAACGGTCCTGCTCCCCCGCCTGAGGGCCTGAGGGGAAACAGACACACAGAGCCCTTCTCCTTTTTCTCCTGTCCTCCATGGTGACTTGTCGTGGGGCTGAGGGCTGTAGTGGGGGGAGCCCTCTGCTTGAGGGCAGGAGGACTGTGTCTGAGGCAATCACGGCAAGGGGAGGTGCGGTGTGGGCAATGCTGCTATTTCTAACCTGCTAAAGTGAACGGAACCCTGACTAGTTGAAAAGCAAGCTGATTGTCAGGGGTGGAACCCAACTTGGAGCTGTCAGGGCCGTCACATGGAAACCGCCTGGCAGGGGGCGGCGACAGGGGGCTTGGGCTGACAGGGCTGTGATTTTGAAAGAAACGTCTTTAAGAAAGTGATTTAAAGTAGGAGAGAAATATTATTATTAGATAATGGCTGTCAGATTATTTTTTGATGTGTTCTCTGAGTATTTCATAACCATCTCGCCCCTAGATGGTAAGGCCTTCCTGGCCAGAGGCCATGTCCCGTGCACCTGCCGGTTTCACCTCAGTGCACGGCATCCAACAAGCATCAGGAGGTGTTTGCCGTTTGGCCAGTGGTCACTTAGGTGGAAGGTTTTATAAATAATCCATTTGCCTTTGTTAATAAACCACAAACCAGGATGAGCGCCTGCACCTTTGGTCTGGACACCTGGGTCCCACCAGGCCCCCCAGCACCGGGCATAGGACTGCCCCTGGCGGGAGCAGCAACACGACAGGGGGGAGGGGCTCACCGGAGACCTGTAACCCTTAGTGGCGAATGGTCACAGGACCCCCCCTCATGCTATCAGTCCCGGCCCCTCTACCCAGCCATCTCCTAAGCCCTGTCCTCAGCAGTCGCTCCTGTCTTATCACAGCCTGCCCCACCCTGCAGGCTCAGCAGAGCCCTCTGATTCTAGTCCACATTTTTTTTTTAAAGATTTTATTTATTTATTTGAGAGAGAGAGCATGAGGGGGGGAGGGTCAGAGGGAGAAGCAGACTCCCCGCTGAGCAGGGAGCCCGGATGTGGGGCTCGATCCC